AATGTACGCGCAGGCCGTTATTTGGATGTAGTCGGTGTAGTGTGTGTAGTTCCGGATGTGAATTTGTTTGGTTGGTGTAGTGTTGAAGAGTTTAGTGCAAGTTAATTATCCTGAAGCAGTTCTGCAGTTTGAAGTAGTTAGCCATAATTACCTAGGTCTGAAAAACTTTAGATCAAATGTATTGTTTTCACTCCTACTTATATAATGCTAAGCGGTGCAAATATGCTTACCTTTTATGGCTGTGAGTTTATCCTGGAATCACAGTTACACTAATTCGACGCTCTCAAGGCGCTCAGCTGCGAGTGATGATTCCTCGAAACTTTGTTCTGTTTACAGAAAAGTATTCAAGGCCGTCTAGACTCTGAAAGATAAATGATCTCATTGTTTCCTTTATCAACTAAGGGGTTTATGCGCAGTTATGCGTGTATGTTACAAACCATTGACACCACAAAGGATTTATTTATCAATAGGATGATGGCACGAAACATCTTGCAATTCAAACTTTATAGCTCTTGCAAAAGGAAAAAAAATAAACCTAGTATAGTTGAATTCTCCGGATCTTGGGATCATGCAATTTGCACTGATAATGAAATTTGATTATCTCGTGAATTTGGCATAAAATTCTTTTGGTAACTGACAATTTGTGAAACCAATGAGAGCTATAGAGAACATCACAACGTTGTAAAGTATTTAGTTTACTTGGTTTGATGTAAGCATTCGTTTATATTTAGTATTAGGACAAGATTCTAATTTGTTAAAGCGCAATTTTTCGCTTGCACGCCCAAATCGCGATGGAACGTAGGATGGCTCTGAGTGCCGGTGTACTTGATGTTTTATTCGTGGTTGCTGTAATTAGTTATAGTCGATGTCGTCGTTGAATTTAAACAGTTAAGATGTAGCTGACTTATCTATCGTAGAATAATATGATCATTGTACGTGCAGGCCGTTAGTTCGATATAGTCGGTGTAGTTTGGGTAATTATGAGTGTTAATTGGTTTGGTTGGTGTAGTTTGAAGTAGTTAGCCATAATTACCTAGGTCTAAAACCCTACCTCAAATGCACTGTTTTCACTGTCACGTACGATAGTCTCTTTGTAATGCTGAGCGATGCAAATTTGCTTACCTTTGATGGGTGTGAGTTTATCCTGGAATAACAGTTGTGCTGATTCGACGCTCTCGAGGTGCTCAGCTGCGAGTGATGATTCCTTGAGAGTTTGTTCTGTTCATGGATTAGTATTCAAGGCCGTCGAGACGCTAAAAGACAAATTATTTCATTATCTCCTCTTTTGACAAAGAGGTTCATAAGCAGTTATGCGTGTAAGTTTATGTTAAAAACCATTAACACCACAAAGGATTCTTTTATCAATAGGATGATGGCACGAGACATCTTAAGTACTAGAATGTGACTTCAATTATAGATGTTGTAAACACTGCTTTGTTGCATACTTGCTTAATGTACTGACTATCATGTAAGACCAATCAATGAATCTTGCAAAGTCTATTGTAACCTAAAAAACATTGTGTGATATTTGGTTGCCAACTAATACTCGTGAGAAAAAAATAATTGCTGTGCTTATCTTCACTGTCAGCCAACCTGAAGGAAAAGGATTGTTTTCCCAGCCTGCAACTTTAAATAGAATGAAAATCTTAGGCAGGAGTTTTTAAACAGTCATTTTTTTTATTTAGCAACTTTCGAATTGCTTTCAATTAGCAGCCAGCAAGACATTATAACGCTTGAAGTCTCAGAAAAGTATTATCTTTCTCTTGTAATTGGGTAAACTTATTATGAAGGTCTACGCTATGTTAATTAGTTTCTTAACTGTTAACTGAAAAGGATTTGGTTCATAAATGACTCTGTTGTAACTGGTAGACATTAAAATTTACTTGAACAAATGTATTCAAGTCTGAGCGATCGCATTCAATCAGTCTTCGATGAAATCGAATTCTCAGAATCATGAGATCATGTAACTTTCGCTGATAATAAAATTTGATTATCTCGTGTATTTGGCATAAAATTGTTTTGGTAACTGACAAATTGTGAGACCAATGAGAGCTACAGAGAACATCAAAACGGCGGTTTGTGAAGTATTTAGTTTATCGGTTTGATTTAAGTATTCGTTGATATTAGTATCAAGATAAGATTTGAATATGTTTAAGCGCCATGTTTCGCTTGCACGCCCAAATTGCGATGGGACGTTGGAATTGCTGTAACTGAAGCAGGTTGGCTCTGAGTGCCGGTGTACTTTGCTGTTTTATTAATGATTGTTGTATTTAGTTGTAGTAAATGTCGTCGCTGAATTTTAGCGATTGAGGTGTGGTTGACTTATTTATTGTAGACTAAGATGGTCAATGTACCTGTAGGCCGTTAGTTCGCTCTAACTTAAAACATTGATTTTCTTCAAAACTTTTTTATTCCTAATTTTGGTTTTTTTTGCGCGACTGACCGTTCCAATTTTACGTGAGGAAAGGCGATAGGAAACGAAGCATTTGAAAGGGTGGCCTTAAATTTTAAAAAAAATGGATAGTCAGAATATAGAAAAGCTGAAACAAGTCGATTGTTTCATTGAACCGAACAAGTGATAACTGTCAGTAATTTCCCTGAAACGCGATAATATCTGGTAGGCGTAAAACCCAAATTTACAGGATTTTTAGACAGTGCGTCGTCATTTTATTTGAACTCGGTTTACTGGCTTTCCTAGTACCCATATCCCTTATTATCTCGATCAAACGCTACAACCTGGACAACGCCGGCCTTGTACTAACGCTTCGTACAAATGAGCGAATCTGCCGTTTTAGTATTAAATGCCGGGGACCCCGGTGTTTGATTGGGGTCCTGACCTTCATTTTTGTTCGAGCTAAAAAGTAATTATATTTTCAAGGAAAGCTCAACTCTGACAAACTTCCGTAATAACTTGTGAATTTTATCTATGTTAATGTTCAGGGAATAACAAATAATCTTCAGAGAAAACCAGCCGATAGTTGTAGCGTAAAGAAAATCGGCCGTCTTGACCAACTCCTCCCTGGATCTCGTAGGATGGGTAAAAAGGAAAGCGAACTATGTCGATAAACAATGGAACCCTATCAACGGTGGAACCACTAGGTCATACTGATGCTTGAAAAAGGCAAAATATAATCTGAATAGTATGAAAATCTTAAATATTGTTTGTCCCAGTATGTAGAGTCACTGTCAATTGGAGCTGCCTTCACTTTCCGTCTCTCGAATCATATGGAGGTCATATCCTCCGGCATGTTCTCGAGTGGCCTCCGAACGAGTTCTATTATGTACTAGTTGTCTCGTCTAATCACGAACCCTCCTTCGACTGCAGAAGCAAAAATGATAACCCATGCGCACTAAGCTTATGAATTGTAAAATGCCTTCCGTTTCTTCGAATTTTTGGTGTTACATTTGTGTATGCAAATTTATGCATGGATATATTTAGCACGGTGTTCATTGTCGACTTCGGTGGGGTGGGGGGTAGGGAATTATTTGAAATATTCTATGGCCACAAAAATTTTTTTACGTGTTGAGGAAATGCATGGAAAGATTTAAAATAGTGATATAATCTTAAAATGCGTATATCTATGGAGTAAAAATTTATTTCACATGAGAAAACTATAGTTCGTGCACTAGAAATCCATCATCAATCCCATGTTCGAGCCCCTTTTAAAATATGAGCATGGCAGCCCCCGAAGCATCGTTTCTTGACTTCAACTGGTGCGCTGGTCCTCTGTCGATAACGTGGAGTCAAAGGTACGTTGTTGACATTAAAAATAAAATTTCTAATAAATTGTTTTACACACAAATACATTGAAAATGAGCGGGGATCGATGCCAAGGTCAGGCGAACTGATCTCAAACAAGCCCGTCAGCTCCTGGTGATCTTTGAGAACCTTGAGGCAACTTTGGGAATTATCGGGAGCGAAACTGAGATAACCCTGAGCAAAACTGACCCTTCGTCAATAAGCAAATCTGTGCATTTCTAAGAATTCTATTTATGTCAACTGCGCTTGCAACGAAGTGAAAATGGGGAATAGTTTACACCAATACAGGAAAGTCGTTGGCAAGCATCTTGTTAGGAAAAGGATTCCTGATAAAAAAAGATATCCGTATATATATATCCCTGTTGTGAGAAGTCGCAGTCGGTTAATAAGCAAACAGATCAGAGGGAGGACAAGGTTACCTTATCACCAAGTACTGGGTCAGTACGTAAGCTCTTCATTACTTTTATCGCAATGGTATGGAAGGAGGGGGTAGGGGTGGGAAGGGGAGGGAGGCCTTTTGTGCTCGATCAAGAAATTTACGGACTTCATTTTGTGTTCTCTTTCATGGACAATTTATGGAAGCTATTTTTGCAAACAATTTCAATCGCTACAGAAAAAACTCAATCGTTAGTGCTAATTTATTAATCGCTAGTGATAAAACTCGATCGTTAGTGCTAAAATGTCAATTGAGTTTTATCACTAGCGATTGATACTTAAGCCTTAGCGAATGTGTTGCAGTCGAGCTGAATCGACAAGACAATCAAACTTACAATCCCGAAAAGAAAATAACTGACAAACTGAAATAAAACGAAATAACAAACTGAGAACTGAAACACAGAAAGAAACATTTTCAAAAAAGTTTAATAATCATAGTAACATTTAGGTAGTACCCACTAGATAATGACGTTTGTCAATTTCAGTAATCGACATGATAGTTTTTTGCGATGGAACTGTTGTAAGACAATCAGGCCTTCTTAGAAACGGACTGAAGATTTTCCCCTATGATAGACTGATACAGTTAAGCAGCACCATATGGTGGGTTTTGGCCCACGAAACATTTCACTAAAGAAAACCCTTTCAAGAATATAATTGATTAACTACTCTGATGACAGAAGTGATTTTAAGTCAGCTTACATGGATAAAAATTGATATCATAAACCAACACCCGGTATTGTAATGCATAATAACATAGAATGATAGCTTAATAGCGAGGATATTTGTAAATGCGATGTTAAACTTGTAATTATCAGTCGTTTCACGGTAGCCTGGGCAAGTACGCCTCAGAAAACCCCTTGCGCGACCCTCTTAACAAATCCTACCAACGCTGTAGTTTAAAAGCACTCGAAATATACAACAACCGAGGAGTGTTCGTAAGTAAGCACTCTAGTATAAATGTTTTCGGTTAAGGTTGGTAAATTGTTAGGCTCTTGTTTTACAATCAAAGAGCCATCTCTTAGGAGCCTGCCAGCACCAATCTAAGAAACGTATGGGTCGACAATCTCGTATTTTTTTCCACCATCCTGCGCACTGAATCTTGTACTTAATCTCGCCTAGGACATCCAGCCAGAAGTCGAACCAGATCAGCCGCATGAAGAGGATGAGCAGTAAATGTATTGGAGAGAATGTCCCGGACATCTGGTACCGCAAGTGCTGTAACGCCTTCTCTTGGTATTCTGGCTGATTTAGTCGAAGACAACTGCCATCGTAGGGAGCAAAAATCGCCGTCATAACTCCACGGGGATTTCTTTTGAGCATCCTCCAATAATCAGGAAATATTCCGCATAACCTAGCGATGTCATCTCCGTAAGTGAAGGCTTCTACCAAGGTGGAAAGTCTACGGGAGGAATCTTTGAAGTAGTCGTCCCAAAATAACTTGTCTTTCACAGCTATTCTCTGCCTTTCATCTCGGGAAGGAAGCTCACACAGTCCTGAGAAAACTTTCGCGGTAAAAAAAGATTGAACCTCGGCGATCGTGATTAATGATCCGATCACCGGCCGAACATATCCGATGAAAGCCAATGTCGGGTCCTCGACGTTAAACAGATACTTGTAGTTGTGGGTAAGAGGAACCGTTTTTATTTCCGCGGGGAGCATTGGAAATTCTGCCTTGAAACCGGTGCACTGAATGATGATATCAACCTCCTCTTCTGTGCCATCACAGAAATGTACTTTGGTACCTTTCACGCTCTCAATTGCGCCTTTTGGAACACAGTGGTGATAATCAACCCTATCAAGCACGTGACCATTTTTGTTGATGAAAGAATGGAAAAATTTGGCGTCATTTTTCCACTCGGATATACCATGACCTTGATAGGCGAGTAGTGAACCGTTCGTCGTCCACTTACATACCCATGCTAGCCCTGCAAGGGAAAGGAGGACCAACATTATTGTGAGGCAAAAATATGACAAATGGTAATATTTAAAATTAGAGAATAAGTTAGCACCCAGTGCGACCAACCAACACTTTGTATCTTGAAGTCAACTATGTCCGTTCCCAAATCGATCCGAAATTTACTCCATCGTGAGTAGAGACAAATACCAGTCGTAATTAAGTTATAGACAGGTCAGTTGTTTACATAACTGTTGACCATCATCCCCTGGATCTATTTTACTCTGAATTTTGTATAAACCCTCTTTGTGTTTAAAAGAACAACAGCCGTTTAAAATCGGACTATATCCATTTTAATATACCTAGTCTATAGTGGATGGTGGCTTCTTCTCTTTTTCGTTTGTTTTCTCGGAAGTGGTCCTTAAAAATACTCAATGATTTGTCAAGAAGTAATTATTTCTTTACTGATAAACAAAGTTACCCTGGAAGCACTGCCTAGACTCTCTCAAAAACACCCTGAATTTTAGCTTAATGTGTCTATACCTGAAAAAACGAGTTCCCATGTTTTGCTTTTTTTTTATTGCTAACTTGCAATTGTTATTTTTAGAGGCTATGGTATTATTATGTAATGTTCTTGTGTCAGAAAAGTTATCAAAACTCAAGCGAAGGATTGGCCGGTTCAAAAATTACGAACAAGTTTAGAGCCACATTAATTAACACTGCTGATCAGCGCTGTCTTATCAGAATTCGAATTTTGCTTAATCATCAGTTTTTGGCACCCATGTCTCCTCCAGTCTGATTTGTGCCGAGGAACAATTATCTGTAAACTCAAGAAAGAAAACTTAAACTCAGTAACATGACATAATAGTTACTGGGATTACCTGGTTTTCCCTTTGTGAAAGGAGCGACGAATTTCATTGCACGAGATGAAGCCTTGTCCAGGACTTGAGGCTGTCGGTTCGGCAGAATCTTCGCAAATTTACGGAAGAAATGCATCCCTCGAGGTATACTCCATATAAGGCGATCAACATTGTCACACCATTCTTCAACCACGTCACTGGCAGTCTCGCCTCCACCAATCAGCATCACTCGTTTGCCTTTATGCTCAGGGACAAATGACTTGAGCTCAGAGCTGTGGTAAATTTTGCCAGCGAAATCTTTAAGGAGAGTCTGCTCCAGAACTCGATTAGGCTTCTGTACACAGCCTGTGCAAATTATCAAGAATTTGCTAGTGAACAGGCTTCCGTTCTCGCACTCAATTCGCCATATATTTTCTCTCTTCTCTACTGACTTCACCCCGTGGTTCAGTTGAATGTGAGGCCACAACTTAAACTTGTCGCAGTAGGATTTCAAGTAGGTGAAGATGTCGGCGTGCTTAGGAAAGTATCCAATCTCCTCCGGCATTGGAAAATCCGACATTTCTGTCACGGATGACGACGAAGTCGTTTTCGTTTTCCGCATGACTGTGACAATGTTAGGGTCCTCTGAGTAACACCACAGCCCACCAACCTCTGAACGTTTCTCTAAGGTGGTAACAGTCAGTCCAAACTCTAGCATGTACTTACACGCCATTAACCCAGACCAACCAGCCCCAATGACGGTCACATCGTGAAAAATTGACTCAGGTTCAGACATGATGATGATTTTGCACTGCAAAGAAAAGAGACAATTTTTAAGCGATTACCTTGGTTTGAATGTATAAACATCGGTTTTATTAAGCAATTAGATGCTAGAAGTAAGTTTAGGATTTCTCTAACACTCAAGTTGATTATGTCTGTATTCCGTGTACACTTTTAAAAACTACTCTGCAGTATGGAATACGAGCCGGAATAGATATTAGGAAACTTTGTTCGTCAGTTTATAAAGGAGACAGTTACTGCGCCGTCAATTCTTGTCCATCGTCATCAGATCACATAAAGAGAAAGGTTGTCTTGCGTTATTTCGTTTGTCTAATTGGAATATAACTTTCCACAAGGTCTGATTACCGAATATCTGTTTTTCTGGTCTAATTCGCGATAGGAGAAAGTATTTCTCAATCAAAATTAATAAAGTTAATAAAGTAAGTATTAATGAAATTAATAAAGTAAGTATTTTTCAAAGTTGAATGGACTATTTTCACACAGTAAAAGAAAATAACAATTAGTCTAGATGTAAAGTGAGGTCATAAAGGAAATTGGTGATGACCAACTGAAACAGCTTTTACGTGACATTTTTCCTGCGTGGGTTACGATAATGTATTATTTTATTCATTTCCAAACACAAAGATACCGAAGTACTTAAAATGCTCCTGAGTATATACTTTTACCTTCGACAACTTTGATGTTTAAAATTTGTCTCAGAGGGTTTCATCCAGAAATATGGGAGAAATTTAGCTACAACTAATGACATTTTGCTCCCGCGATATTTTAAGAGGCAGTTCAGCGGAAACTCGTAGTAGCATGCTCAGAGGTATCCAGAATTGCGGGCTGTAGTGTCAAGCGTTCACGGTACGTAAGGATTATGCCTAATTACATAGATTTTCTTCAGCCGCTATTGAATATAGACATTCCTTTGTTTGTCTACTCTCCATATGCAGCATTCAGTATACTTACTTGTCATGTTTGGAACAAATTGTCGTTACAAATACGTTTTTACCTCCCAACAAACTACATAAAAGCAGGAGCCCTTTACCCGGAGCCTCCATACCAACTGTACCCTTGAGCCAACCCTGTCCCGTATCTTTTTATTTTTAGAAGTGATATATTTGGGGGTTCTTTAATTTCCCGCGAAAACACGCTGACGTTCGGGCAACACCCTAAAAAATGAATGGTAAATTTTCCGCGCTTTTCGCCATTATTGAAATACTTTCGTGCAGCCTGCATGTGACATAAACAATAGAGGACTACAGCTCTCTTATGATTGGCTATTATGTAAACACCCGCGAAAAATTCCGTGGGAGGTGCTTCTAAAAATAAAAAGAAGCGGGAGAGGGTTGACTCAAAGGGTAAGTATGGAAGATGGAAGCTCCGGGTAATGGGCTCCTGATAAAAGTTATAAATTATTTTACCGCCTCTTCTCTATCCATCCTGGTCTTTTTTTTTGGTTTTTTGTTTTTTGTTTTTTGTTTTGTTTTGTTTTTTTTTTTTTTTTTTTTTTTTTTGTTGCACCGACTGCGAGCCTGGTTGCTTTTTTTCAAAATGGCAGACACATTTGCTTCTTTTGGCAATTCTTTTGCTTGGATTTGCGCGAGATTTTCTTGCAACAGAAAAAAATAGACCTAGTACAGTTAAAGAACTGGAATGTGACTTTAATTATAGATGCTCAATTTTCCCACTTTTTCGTACTCCTTAAAATTTATGATGGGCGGAGGTTAAAACACAAACTAGAATTTCTTTGTAGACAATGTTGCAGCTATTTAACGCGTGTAGAATTAATGTCAAATTTTTAGCTACAGTCTTTGCTTTCATTTCACTTTTCAGTTCAGTTCCTTCGCCTTGTTATATCAATAACAGATAAGAGGAAAGTGACGATCGTATCGCAACATCTGAAATTTTTCGTCGTGTTATTACAGTCACTCATGAGTTCTTTGTGCAGAATTGTGTTCGTTTCCACGACTACATTACATTTACATTTACTTGAAGTACTGAGGTATTTTATCGCATGTTATAAACACTGCTTTGTTGCATACTTGCTTAATGTACTGACTATCATTTAGGACCGATCCTAATCGATTATTAACGATTCTTGCAAAGTATATTTTATCTAAAGAAATATTGTGTGATATTTGGTTAACAATTAATCTTCGTGGGAACAAAAAGAACGCTGGGCTTTTCTTCACTGCCAGCCAACCTGAACGAAAAGGATTATTTTCCCAGCCAGAAACTTTAAATAGAATCAAAATCCCACGCAGGAAAATGAGAGTTATTTTTTATCTTTTTTTAGCAAATTTTGAGTTGATATCAATTACCAGCCAGCAAGACATTATAATGGTTTAACTCTCTGGAAAGTATTACCTTTCTCCTGCAATTAGCCACAATAATTGGGTAAACTTATTATGAAGGTCTACGCTATGTTAATTAGTTTCTTAACTGTTTACTGAATAGGATTTGGTTCATAAATGATTCTTTCGTAACTGGTAAACGTTAGCATTTACTTGAGCAAATGTATTCAAGTCTGTGCGATTGCATTCTATCAGTCTTCGATGAAATTGAATTCTCAAGGATAATGGATAATGGGATCATGTAACTTGCGCTGATAATAATATTTGATTATCTCGTGTATTTGGCATAAAATTGTTTCGGTAACTGACAAATTGTGAGACCCATCAGAGCTACAGAGAACATCACAACGTTGTTAAGTATTTAGTTTACTTGGTTTGATGTAAGCATTCGTTTATATTTAGTATTAATACAAGATTTGAATTTGTTGAAGTGCAAGGTTTCGCTTGCACGCCCAAATTGCGATGGAATTGGAATTGTTGTAGCTGAAGGATATGTACTTTGCTGTTTTATTCATGGTTTTTGTAGCTAGGTTTTGTTGTATGTAGTTGTAACCAATGTTGTCTCTAAATTTAAACACTTATGGTGTGGTTGACTTATTTATTGTAGACTAATATAATCAGTGTACGTGTAGGTCGTTGGTTCGATATAGTCGGTGTAGTGTGTGTGATTGCGGGTGTAAATTGGTTTGGTTAAGGTGTAGTGTTGAGTAGTTTTGAGCAAATTGATTAACCTGAAGCAGTTCTGTAGTTTGAATTAGCTAGCTATAATAACCTAGGTCTGGAAAAACTCTAGCTTAAATACACTGTTTTCACTCTCACGTATGATAGTCTCTTTGAATCACTGTGCGACGCAAATATGCTTACCTTTGATGGGTGTGATTTTATCTTTGAATCACAGTTAGACTGAATCGACCCTCTCAGCCGCGAGTGATGATTCCTTGAGAGTTTGTTCTGTTCACAGAAAAGTCGTCAAGACCGTTTAGACGCTGAAAGATAAATGATTTCATTGTTTCCTTTATCAACAACGAGGTTCAGAAGCAGTTATGCATGTAAGTTTATGCTACAATCCATTAACACCACAAAGGATTCTTTTATCAATAAAATAATGGCACGGGACGTCTTGGAACTGGAATTTGACTTCAGTTATAGATGTTATAAACGCTGACGATGGAACGTAGGAACTGCTGTAGCTGAAGCAGGTTGGCTCTGAGTGCGGGTGTACTTTGATGTTTTATTCATGGTTGTTGTATTTAGTTGTTATTGTTTTTAGTTGTACCCAATATTGTCGCTGAATTTAAACAATTAAGGTGTGTTTTACATATTCATTGTAGACAAATATGATCAATGTACGTGTACGCCGTTAGTTCGAGTTTATCCTGGAATCACAGTTATACTGATTCGATGCTTTCGAGACGCTCAGCTGTCGAGTGATGATTCCTTGAAAGTTTGTGCTGTTTGCAAAAAAGTATTCAATGCCCTTTAGACGCTAAAAGATAAATGATCTCATTGCATGTTTCCTTTATCGACAAAGAGGCTTATGCGCTGTTATGCGTGTAAGTTTATGTTAGAAACCATTGACACCACAAAGGATTCGTTTATCAATAGGATGATGGCACGAAACATCTTGCAATTCAGACCTTACAGCTCTTGAAACAGAAAAAATAGACTTAGTACAGTTAAAGAACTTGAATGTGACTTACATTTTAGAAGGTCAATTTTTCCACTTTCGAATGAAAAGGATTATTATAACATAGCGTGCGCGCTTGCCCTTTATAAGTCCTATTGAGCCGCTATGAACAAATTCTTAATTTACGCACGCCCGTGCGTAAATAAGATGACGTGAGCATTTTTTTTACTTGGCTTCAGAGTTTTCGTCCTGTTAAGCTGCAGTGCAGTTTCTCTTCTCTTTGAAATATGGAAGAAACCAGCGAAGAACTGCCCAATTTTTCTATCGGCATTGACCTTTTAGGTCCTGATCCAACAGGCAACAAAAAATAAAGCTGAAAAAAACTCGCAAGTTGCACGTTTCGCAAATTTTTCGGAAGCGTGAACATCATTTTGAATATTCAAAACCCTTGATAACTTCGGGTCTCTGACTTTTAAAACATTTTTTAGTGACACGAGTTCATCTAGCTTTGATTTTCTCCATTTTCCCCATAAATTTTGAGCTTTTCATTCACAGTTATCGGTCAACTGGATCACATGTTCTCGCTGAAACCAAAGTAATAAATGTGGCGTGTTTTTGACCAGCCAATAGGGACGTTTGTTTACTTTTTTTTGGGCGTAGTGAGAATTCTCAATAAAAGGCTTCTTCGCGCAGATCCTTGTTGTCGCTCTGTTATAAACGAATTTGCTCATGCTTTTAGCTGTGCGTATATCGAGTATAATGGATGCACTTGGGAAGCTTGGAGAGCACTCAGAAAGCTAGAGTTGATCTCGGCTGCGCCCCGAGCTACTCCCACGCATTTTTCGTGCTCTCCAAACTTTCCGCGTGCATTCATAACTCGATATACACACGCTAAGCATGAACAAATTCTTAATTTTTCCAGCCAGCAACTTAAATAGAATCAAAATCCCATGCAGGAGACTAAAATTTTTTTTTTTTTCATAAGGAAATTACGATTTGCTTTCAATTATAAGCCGGCAAGATATTATAGCAACTTTAAATAGAATGAGAAGAACTTAAAGACTGAGATATTTTAATGCATGTCATAAACACTACCTTCTGCATACTTGCTTAATGTACTGACTGTCATTTAAGACCGATCATGATCGATTATTGACGATTCTTGCCAAGTCTATTGTATTTAAAGAAACATTGTGTGATATTTGGTCAACGATTAATCGGTGCAAAGACTTCTCGGCTCGAGACAACCACAGGCAGCCCAAACTGTAAGAACGAGTACAATTTTTCCCACATCTGTGGCATGGCTTATTTACATCACATTAGCCAAAGTGATTTCGCTGAAATAGCGGTTGAAATTTCGTTACATAAGAGATATGATTATCAAGTTCTGTGTAGTAGGCTTAAAACCGTTTTGGCAAATGGCAAATGCCATTAAAAATATTTTAGAGATTGGAGGAAAAAGCACTAAGAACTGCAAGTACCCAAAAACTAAAACAACTGTAGTATAATAAAAAATAAAAGCTAAGTTTTTTCGTTTGTCTTACGATGTAGTCACGTGTAATCTACATCACACGTGACTACATCGTGAGACAAACGTGAAAACTTAGCTTTTGTTATTCACCACGATGAATAACCACAACCTTTCTTACGCAATTAATTGTCGTATAACAGTTGCAACCGGCCAGGAATTCAAAACAACGAAAGGGAATCCTCTGCTAACTCTAAAAGAGCGCTTTTCGATTGGGCGTGGCGTAGGATGAGCGTGGTTTTCGTTGTAATGTTACCCTTAGTTCTGATCGGCCCGTATTACTCTCATTTGGTGTATTAGTTCTAGGTCTTAATGGGTAAATGGGGTTAACTATTAGCCGTTAAACGGCCAAAAAAATTTAGCCGTTAGGCGGAGAAATTTACAAAAATTCTAACGGTTAGTCGTAAATAAAGTTAACCGTAAAAAAATCTCTGGCGACAACAATGGCGCAGTGTTAACCGTTAGCCGTAAAAGCCATCAACCCATTGAGACCCTCTTGAGCGACAGTCATTCTGTAGACTCGTAGCAAACGAGGATAAAAGCGAAAATTATGTTTTATTCAGACGTTACTTCAATGTTGAAGGCTTTGCAGGGAAAAAAAGAAGTTGACACTGGCCATTCGGTTTTTTTGGAAAGATCACATCACAGCTGAAAAAAAAAAAATCAGGTGATACTAACACTGTAAAGTTTTATCCATCTTCCTGTTTGAACTGGAACAAGTATATTCTAAATTGTCTTGTTGTAATCCTAGTCTACACCAGTATCATTTTCTTAACAAATGCGCCACCTTTCATGGAAAAATTGTCTGCCTAAAAAATTAGCAGAAAGTAAGGAGAAAATTATCGACATTCTTAAAAAACGAGAAATTACGTTTATATTTTAATTACGGTTTCATAAAACCATCTGGCCCCAAGTTTGTGCTAAAGAGACATTTTTTGTTAAGCTTTGAAATTGAGATAACTTTCTTGGTCAGGACAAACCAAATTTGTTACAAAATCTCAAGACTAAACCTTTGCAACAGGTCCAATAATTTATTAGAAGAATCTGAATTTCATGGTTCTGAATTGCTTGGTTAATTTGTATCTAGTTAGCATGATAACAAATTAATTTACACTGAAAAAAGCAGCAGTTTTAGTTTGCTAACGAGTGTTATCTGGAAAATTCTATAGGGGATTGTTGATGTGTACACGATATCAAAATACTAGAATCAAAGTAACCCCGTCTCGTCCATTTATAGCAGTTAACAACTGAGAATAAGATCAAGTCTAAACGGCTTCTGTAATTTTGATGCGACCAGAAAAATCTCTAAACAGTGATATGATTCGTGAAGGATGCCTGTGCGCACATTGCACGCACATTTCTTGGTCTCAATTTGAATAACAACAGTTTGAGCAAAGTGGTCAATACACACGATCTTATCTCAGCTTGGTGGTTACTGCGGTATGTGCATTAGCATCTTTTTAATTGGTGGTTCTTTTTTTCTTTGTTTTCGTTTTATGCACGATCTACCATGCGTTAGGTCACAAGGGACTCTTGCAAGCTTCAAAACCCTTCATTACGCACGTTTTGTACCTTGCACGTTTTTTAGTTCAGTTTGCATCCAAGTTCAAGTTTTGCCGTTTCTTGTCCATGAAAAACGCCGATAAGGTTTGTATGTCTTGCCTGTAGGTTTTGTACCTTCGGCTTTTGTTTTCTAGTGTATTTGCAACATTTGTTGTTTCTTTTTTACCCTAGAACCGACTCTTGTGGAAATGACATTTCCTTTTCAAACTTGACCAAGATTGAGTCTATCGTCGGTGAACTGTTCAAGAATAAAGTGAAACTCGTGTCCGCGAATTCTTGTGTGTGCGGATCTTATCTCAGCTTGGGTACTTTTCTGAACATGTTACGACATTGCTCATAATAAGGTGAGAGAACAGTGTGCTCCCTTATTTCACATCGTTTTCCGTGAATTTCTTAAAAGACGGCTGGAGAGCAAAGGAAAAGAGTAGTTAATTGTACGCACACACTTCTGCCAAGAAAAACTTCCTAGAAAGGAACAGAAAAATGAAATTATAAATAGTGACTGCAAATTATAGCCGGCTGAGTTCCCCATGGTGTGATATTTTCCACAAAGAACGATCGACTAAAACGGCTTTGGACTAACTCGCAAGATCTTGAAATCACACCCCACGAGGTAAGACACAAAAATTAACTATTTTCGATCGTTTGGCATTTATCATTTTTTCAATCACAGCTCATGGAAAGGTCTGTTTTCGGAGATGAATGGGAGTAATCGGCAATCTTTTGATTGTCAGACACTTTAATTTATAATTAACGCAGGTTTCTCTTCTCTGTTCACTTTCAAATGGCAAGGAAATTCACTATAATTCGATTCAAATGAGTGTTGAAAAATTTAAAAAGTTGTCATCGTTAAAATGTTTGTTCCCTTTAATGGCGCCTGAAAATCTTTTCTTACTTCTACCGTAAAACTGACGTTGAATGAGGAAATTTCTCTGAACTCGAGGGAACTATTGCAGATTCCATTCACTGAATTTCTTTAGATTCTACAACGCAATTTATGGACTGAGATCAAAGCTATGACCAAGTAGAAGTAAAAAGCGAAGTAGAGAGCAACTTGAGAGAAGGACAGAGTAAAACTGCTTAAAAAGGAACTCAAAAGGACATGATCTTTTGAGAATGTTTTTAAGGATTTCAATGGAAAAACATGGTAAAATTTCCGCACAGCCCCATACTATTGTAAAACAAATCTGTTTTCCCAATGGCAATCTATTGTTTTTGTCATTGTTTTCTATATCCAAGAACTGAATGTATAATGTAGTATGGGGCTGTGCGGAAATTTTACCGATTTAGTAATGGTGACAATAATTCATGTCGTCCAATTCGGTCTGTAATCATATGAGTAATTACAGAATTGGAC